TCCCACCTCCCTCCTCCACTCCCACCCCTCCCCCTCTGGCTCCACCCAGGCCACACCTGGGCACTTTCCTGCCCAACACACCCAGGCTCTGCCCCAGCCTTGTCCACACCCCTTCACCCCAGCTCTGAGCCACCAAGGAAGACTCTGGGAACCCGAAGTGAGAGGAAGGGCTGGTGGAACAGAGGGAGCCAGGGCTCTTGGCTCTTGGAAGCCAGGCACCATCTAGTTCTTCTGGTCTCAGGGTCATGGAGACATATTTGTCCATGCGGTCCCTGAGTCCATTAGGGGAGCTCTGGGGGCACAGTGGTTATGTGGGGGGTTGCTCACCACAAGGTCAGCCGTTCGAAACCACCAGCCGCTCCACTGGAGAAAGAAGGGGCTTTCTACTCTGGTAAATAAGTACTGCTTCGGAAACCCACAGGGGCAGCTCTACCCTGCCCTATAGGGTTGCTGTGAGTCAGCATCGACCGGATGGCCACGAGGACTCCCTGTTTCCAAGTGTCTCTGGATTTACCTCCTCTGGATGAGGAGAGACCGGTAGTTGCTGCTTAGCTGCATCTTTGAAGACCCCAGTGGATACTCACTGCCTTAGAGGGTGGAATGGTGTCATTGTAAGCTGTAGAGCCAGCTGGCCCAAGCCCCTCCAAGATTTTGTCCCTCTGTTTCTGGCTCAGTGCCTAAGCTTGTCAAGGTGCACCTATGTGATGACGTGTGTGCGGGAGAGCACACACATGTACACACACACACACACACACCTCCTGATGACTGGTACCATTCCACTGTGTAGAGTGGACTCAACCTTCTAACTTCTAAGCAGCTGAACGCATGAACAAAATCGGTTCTCCTCTGCCCAGGGCAGCCTGGGGTCGGGGAAGGGGGCTTCTCTTCCCCCGCTTTTTAAATTTTGATTTTCATCATGATTTAAACACACACACATACACACAGTAGAACATCCACTCACCCACTGGTCCTGCAGGAAGCGTGCAATGATACTGGCTCCAAGCGCCACGGTGTCTCTGTTCTCCTCGCTCCCTGCCTGGTTTTCTGCACCACCGCTGGCTTAGACTCGCTGCCCCTGAACGGCTCTCAGCTGAAGCAGAGGCGAAGCCGCGAAAGAGATGTCATGCGCGTGGCAAACTTTTTTTACTCAGTTACCTATGCGTCTCTCTAGTTTGGGAGTGGGGAGTCTTGCTTTCCACCAAGGGCCATCCGGATATTTATAACATCACTCGCGGGCCATACAAAATGATGGACTTCAAAATCGGCCGGCTTTATTTGGTCAGATGGAGAAGAATCAAAGCGTGTGAACGGTGGTGCCGGAGAAGGACATCGAAAAGGACCGTTGCCTGCTAAAAGGACAAACGGAACCACCTTGGAAGAAGGACGGTCCGAGTGCTCCTTCCTTAGAGGCCAGGGTGGCGAGACTCCGTCTTACCTACTTTGGACATGTTGTCAGGAGAGAGCCGTCCCTGGAGCAGGACGTCATGCTTGGTCAAGTGGAGGGGCAGTGGAAGAGAGGGCGGCCTTCCGCAAGATGGACGGACGCAGTGCCCACAACAGTGGGCTCAAGATTAGAACCGCTATGAGGAGGTGCAGGGCTGGGAGGGTTTCCTTCTGTTGAGCATAAGGCTGCTATGGGTCAGAACCAACAACAACAGGTTGGCCTAATATTGAATTAACTCACCCCTAATTGTGAGATCCAGCCTCACATCCGGATGGTGTTAAGAGACGGTTTTGTCCCTGAAGGGAAGCAATTAAGAGACAGGCACACCTTGTGGGGTGCTCACCTCTGCCATGGCTTCAGGAACCAGCCCCAAGCAGAGAGAGAGAGAGAGATTGTATGCTCACATCACCTTATATACTCTCAGGTAACCATATACTTAACAAAGTGGGCTGTACCCTAACCCTAAAGGTCCCGGAGTTCATTAGAGGAGTACCCTAACATCAGTGCTGGGGGCAGGTCAGGGGGAGTGACCGTCCCCTGAGCAGGGAGAGCCACTGTCACATGCTGCTCTGATAGACAAAGCTGCCGGGCAGACAGCAATCAGCTGCGTGCTTGTAAGAGGTAGCTGTAAGGTAGCATTATTCTGGGAGGATATTGTGGGGACTCGTCTTAATTATGAGCATGTGATTGGGACTCATCTCTAACTCACAAGTGTGCAGGCCTCCCTCCACCCAGAATCTTGGCCTCCCGGCCTCATCAAATATGAGAGTAAAGAATGTGTCCACATACACATACACTCTCTTCCCATTCCTCTGTTTCCCACACCTAATGTGATAGGGAGCCCTGGTGGGGTGGTGGCTACATTGGGCTGCTAACTGCAAGGCCTGCAGTTCAAAGCCACCTACAGCTCTGAGGGTGGAAGACAAGGTTTTCTGCTCCCATGAAGAGTCAGTCTCGGAAACTCACCTGGGGTCGTTCCAGCCTGCCCTCTGGGGTGGCCAGGAGGCGGCATCAGCTCAACGGCAGTGAACTTGGGTTCTTGTGCATCTCGACAGGAGCGAACAGCCTCATCGTCCTCTCTGAGGATGGGGGTTTGAACCACTGACCTTGCAGGGAGCAGCAGGCTGCCTCTAACCCACAATGCCACAGGGCTCCTAGGGGGAAGTCTGTCTTGGAAGAAGCGCAGCCAGAGTGCTCCTGGTGACAGTGTGTCTTACGTCCTTTGGACAAGTTGTCGGGAAAGACCAGGCTGTGCTGGGCAGTGAAAGAGGAAGGCCCTGGGTGAGATGGATGGCCACGGCGGCTGCAACAACGGGCTCGGGCACCGGAACATCGGTGAGGCTGGTGCAGGACCTGGGGGGGTTTCGTGCTGTTGTATATAGACTCACTATGGGTCGGAACCGACTGGATGGCGCCGAACCCCAACTATGTGGTGACTGGAACTGCTGTTCTTTGGTGAGGCGCCCGTGCTGTTATCTGGGGATCGATGACTTCAGGGGCCAGGTGATGCCCACCCTTGGTCTAGTTGAAAGGTGACTTCAGAGCATGCTTTCCGTCGGTGGCTAGAAAGGTTTTTCTCAGAGTGAGAGATTCAGGGGTGCCTCCAGACCCGACTGATTCAAGAATCCTGAGTTCTGCCAGATGTTGACCTTCTGTTTCACAGTTTCCCCCTTTTGATCAAGAATCATCCGGATGGGTGGAAATGCTCAGTGGTGGCAGCCGGGCACCAGCTAGTTCCTCTGGTCTCATGCATAAGGAGGCCTGAGGGAGCTTTGGAAGTAGGCAGAGTGGAATGAACACTGGATCGGCACTGCACCCTGAGAGTGGGTTTGCAAGCTGCAAGAGGATGGGCGTCTTGCTCCCAAAGGGGGTAAACACGCCCTCCATGCCGCTGTGGAAGAGAGGGCCTTGTCTGAGTGATGTCTGACGCCCTTTCTGTTCTTCCAGGTACGAGGAGGAAAGGATCAAGGCCAGGAGGGAGAGGTAGGCTCTGTGGGCACCGTGGGGGTGGGGTGGGCAGGGCAGGGCTGGTGGCTGGGTAGGGGCCTCTCGAAGGGTTAGGAGAGGGCGGACAGTGGGCCCCTCACACAAACACACATCTGCACCTCCCATGATCAGTCAAGAAAGATGCTGTGAAGGAATAGGTTTAAGGGTCTGTGTCACCCCCTCCTTCTGCCCCCTCCAAGCCACCTCCTCATAGCAGGTCACTCCACCCTTTAAGACCCTGGTCTGGCAGCTTCTGGAACCAGGGAAGCCAGCTGAGTCTAACCGTGCAGGCAGACCCCAGGGGGCCTGAGTTCGGGTCCCAAGCCACTCAGCACCCGGCTCTCTCTGTCTATAGTACAAGACCCCTGCCAGAGTTTGTCCCACCCGGGTCTGAAGAGAAGGCGGAGACTGAGGCAGCAGCTGTGGCCACAGAGGCAGAGGTGGCAGAGAGCAGGTAAGGAGCCTCTGAGGTGGCACCTGGCCCCACCCCATGCCCCACCCCCCCCTGAGGTGGAGAGGGCCAGGGGAGAGCCATAGCACACTGCCTGCCCCTGAGGATGAATGAGCGAACTGGCAGGGGGAGGGGAGCCCTGAATAAGCCCCCGGGTGGGCTGGTTCAGTGGAGCTTCCAGACTCAGACAGACTAGGAAGGAGGACAAACAAAACACTGGCCGGTGGGAACCTAGTGGCTCCCAGCGGCACAGCGGCTGATCGAGTGCCCACCAGGAACCCCGCAGGCTGGACCTGTCTCTCCTTCGGAGAGGCGGGTGGTTTCGAACCACCGACCGTGTGGCTAGCAGTCCAACAGGCAAGGATTGCACCCCCGGGGTCTCCTCCCTCAGCTAGAAGGCACTGGGAACACACAGCAACAGACCCAGATGTCACCGCCAGGGTGAAGACTGGGCAGGGCCGGGTGGCATTTCCTCCCGCTCCTTGAACCGGGGGTCACTGTGAGTGGGAACAACACGATGGCATGTCACAAGACGAGCAGTGGAGGGGCTGCAGGGCTCCCCACGTTTTCCACTGCGGCTGGAGGATTGTCATGGATTCACACCCGTGGTTCAAGTCCAGCAGGTCATCAGAGAGAACAAGGAGGCGGTCAGCGCTGATGACCATGGACAGCCTCAGAAACCCTGGGGAGGGCTGCTAGGGGCCGGGGTCAACTTGATCGTTTGGGCTTTTTATATACAGGAGCCTCACATGCACACTCACACAGTTACATACACAGATCCCTGTAGGTCGCACCCACCCACACTTACGGGCTTCCTATAGATCAAACACACACACACCCCCACACAGGATCCCTATAGGTCTCATACACACATGGGGTCCCTGTAGGACACACACACACACACATGCACGGGGTGGTCCTAGTGTGTCCCCATCAGACAGCACACCTGTTAAAACGGATGAACCGAAATGGCTCCCTTCTTGTCACTAAAGCTCCTCGTTTCCTCCGGGCCCACTCCGTGTGGTCTCTCCCTGTGGTTTTGATAAACGGGGCATGTCACGTGTTCCCCAAGGCAGGCTCATGCAGAAGGGTGTCCCTGCCCTGAAAAGGCCTTGGGCTCCTCCTACTCACCCCTCCCTCCTCCCCCTGAACCCCAAGGGACCACTCATCTTTTCCTGCCTCCCTGAAAACAAACCAGTTACCGCCACACTGTCGCCAGCTGGGGGCAGCCTCCCCGGGCGCCTCAGGGGCTGCGTGTCCAGAAGGTGACTGCCAGGCCTTTCTTCCAAGGTGCCTCCAGGCGGACCCTAGCCGTCCACCTTCCCATGAGCAGCTGCGTGCATCCACGTGTGCTGGACAGATGGACAAGCAGCTCACACCTCTTTCCTCACCCGCAGCTCAGCTCCCATCCGAGGAGGGCAGGACACAAGGTGGGTGGGGCGGTGAGTCTGCGGCCCTGGGGAATTGGGAGGGGCCCGGCTCCCAGGAACACCGTTTTTCATAGGCCCCAAAGGCTCCTGGGGGAGATGTGGGCGTGAGACAATGCAGGCTAGACAAGGTCTCTCTCTGTGTTAGTCCAGGTTGACTAGAGAAACATTCATATGTGTATAAGAAAGAGCTTTATATAAAAGAGCAATTGTGTATTGTATATTGAGAAACATCCTAGATCAAGTCCATAAGTCCAATACTAGCCCATATGTCCTATACTACTAGTCCATAAATTCCTCTTTAGACTCACACAGCCATTCAATGACACCAAACGTAGGAAGATCACAGGCCAGTGGGTGGAAAGTCTTGTGGATCCAGTGGCGGTGGAAGCATCTCAACACTGGCGTGGGTCTCCACGTGGCTCCTCCAGCTCCAGGACTCTGGTTCCATCAGTGTAGTTCCATGTGTCTTGTCAACAGGAATGTGAAGCAGAGAGAGAGGGTGTCCCTTCCTCCAGGGAGGAAGACAGGAGATCACAGGAATCCTCAGGAGAAGGCCATGCCCACACAGAGGTCTCATTGGCTATGACCTGATTGACAGGGTAGACTCCGCCCCTTCTCTCAAATTGACAGGAGATGATGTAACTGACATTCCCTCAGCCTGGCTCGCTGTCTCAGTCTGCCCCCACACCACCCTCAGGATCATGAGCCATTAGAAAGACTCATCGAGGCCCTCTGGCTCACGATTGCAAGTTAGGCTCAGCCAGGCAGAGGGACACAGAGGGCAAAGGTGGGAGAGGCCAAGCAGGAGCTTCTGGAGGTCCTCGCCCAGTGGAGCTGGGCAGGCAACACACCAGGGAGCTGACCAGGGAAGCTCCCTGAACCTTGGTGTCTTAGCTACCTTCTGCTGCTGTGACAGAAAGACCACAAGGGAGTGGTTCTAGCAAACAGAAGTGTCTTCTCTCGCAGTTTAGGGGACGAGAAGTCTGGATTCAGGGCTCTGGCTCTAGGGGAGGACTCTCGGTCTCGCTCACAATTTAAGAGGAAGGTCCTTATTCCCTTCCTGGCGTTCCTCGAAGAGCTCCGTGTGTCTTGGTAACACTCTTCCCCTGGGTCTAGGAGGGTCTCAGCACAGGGACAGTATGAGTCTGGGTACTTTGGAGAAACAAATCCACAGCAACTCATGGATAAGAGAGAGTTTTATGTAAAGAAAGTGTGCATCTCGAAAACATTCCAAACCAATGCTGCCCAAGCCCACAAGTCCAACATTAA